CACTACACCACACTGGCTCCCTAAGATCTTTTACCAACCACACCTACGGTTTCCGTCATATTGATTCCTTACGGTTGATTCATTATGCCTTAGGATCAATAGCAAGCAGCAACCTGCCCTCTCCCCTCAACCCGCCACCCCATTAAGTATTATAATTAATCTGATTTTGCTTGATTTCCATTGATTGCGACCTTGAAAACAAGAAGCGGAGGGAGACACCATGCTTTTCAAGATAATGCGTTTATTTCTGCATTTATATTATTTCCCAAGGTTAACGGGATATCAGTAAGAGGAAAAAAGGTCATGGAAGAAGTTACAGACTGCAGAGAAAGGACATGCAATATGAGATATTTCCTACAGTCATAATACTAGGGGGATTTCTGGTACGGATGGTAAACAGGGGAATGACCATAAATGACCAGTAAATGAAGATCCTGCTTTATAGAGGGGCCTATCCGGAAAGCTCAGACCTCTTAAAACTCTTCACAAGAGGACTGGACAACGTTTTGTGCGTCACTTCACAACTGTATGATTCGTGGGTGTTGAAATCCGATGTAGGGAATGTCAGGGTGCTGCTCAGCTTATAGGTGTTGTCTGTATCTGATGCTGGGGGGCTGGTTTGGACACCCTCAGTGACGGGAGTGCCGTCCACTTTCCAGACCACGGTCAGGTTGCTCGGGTAGAACGTGCTGACCAGGCACACGGCAGTGGCTGAATCCATTTTAAGTTGCTCCGGCGTGGGTGGGAAAATGAGTGCCGATGGGGTGGAATCTTCTCTTCCTGCGTAAACAAACAAGAACACGGAATATTGCATCATTCAGGTGTACCAGAGGGCCAGTGAAAGACCAACATGCTAGTTCAAAACATTTTGCTGCAAATGGCGCCACTGTAAAATTGTGAAGGTACCAAGTGCCTGAGGCAACGCAAATCCACAAGTTTCCCCTCTACTTCTTCACCCCCCCAATAAATAAGTGAAGTATTTGCTGCTGTTTCATGACACCCCCTAGTTGAACGCCTTGATCAGACCAGAAATGCAAATAGCATTCAGGCTCAGATTTGCCATCATCATCATCGTCATCATCATCATCATTACTGCTTCCCCCACACCTTTAGCGTCTCCACCCCCATCATTCTACCCAAACCTGAGGTCCAGCTCCGAGGGCCTTCTGGTGGTTCCCTCACTGTGAGAAGCCAAGTTACAGGGAACCAGGCAGAGGGCCTTCTCGGTAGTGGCACCCGCCCTGTGGAACGCCCTCCCACCAGATGTCAAAGAGAACAACAACTACCAAACTTTTAAAAGACATCTGAAGGCAGCCCTGTTTAGGGAAGCTTTTAATGTTTAATAGACTATTGTATTATAATATTCTGTTGGAAGCCACTCAGAGTGGCTGGGGAAACCCAGCCAGATGGGTGGGGTATTTATTATTATTATTATTATTATTATTATTATTATTATTATTATTATTATTATTATTTAGGAGCAGCCCAACATTCTGAAACTGATTGAAGGTATAATGCTTTTATTCTTGCTGATGGTGTCCGCAGATTAAACAGCTGTTAAAGGTACAGAAAAGACTTCAAGCCGCAACCCTACGTCCCCTTATCTGGAAGTAAACCCTGCTGAATTGAGAATGTCTCATTGCCATGCAAACATGGACACGGTTGTTCTGAAAACCATAGAAATTCAAAATCCTACAGTGTTCGTGACAGTGTTTGTACTGCAGGAAAGTAAAATTTGGGCTCAGCAGACCCTCAGAGAAGACGCAGTGCAGAAAACTGATCTAAAGTTTGGCAGGTGTCGTTGTAAAAGAAATAGTTCAACACATTTTTAAAGTGAACGTTTCCTAGTCGTATCTTTCAGTCTTTACTGAGTAAAGTAAAAACTGAAGAAAAGACTCCACGGGCCAGTATTCATATCTGGGTGCTGCAAAGGGCATTACAGCCCTGTCCTCTGGCTGGGACAGAGAATTTGAGCTCGTGGAAAGCTGCAAAATTAGAAATATTCTGCATTACTTTGGCTTGGGTAATTGGTGTGTGGTGCATTGTTATAAATTTGGCTAGAGTGTAAGTGCAGACATTTCTTTACTTCTTTGTACATGATTTTTATATTTTGTATCCTATAGATGAAACGTGCTGTTTAAACCGTTCGCTAAGCACCACTACAAGAATCACATAGGAGAGTTAAATTCTATATTCCATCTTAAAACTTACGTTTTTACCATATTTTACATTGTTTCTCCTTTCTTGATTACTTCAGAAATGCCCAAGTAACTAACAATGGCGCAAACCAGTAAAATATGAAGTCCCCCAATTAATTTCAACGGCAAATAATTAAGCATGAGCTAAGCATTCAGTGGGCTTAACATTGATCAGCTTCTGCTCTAAGTTTCGTAAAGGACATATATTTAATTTTACTTGCTGTAACTTATCTGTGCAAAGTATTGCACCATAAAATTGGTAGGGACAAAATAAATACTATACAGTGGTACCTCGGGTTACATACGCTTCAGGTTACATACGCTTCAGGTTACAGACTCCACTAACCCAGAAATAGTGCTTCAGGTTAAGAACTTTGATTCAGGATGAGAACAGCTCTGGCGACGTGGCAGCAGCATTTAGCCCCATTAGCTAAAGTGGTGCTTCAGGTTAAGAACAGTTTCAGGTTAAGTACGGACCTCTGGAACGAATTAAGTACTTAACCCGAGGTACCACTGTATTCACTTTGAAAATAGCCTTGAAATTTCACTCTTTTTCTTTCCCCCCTAACTTTCCTTATTGCAGAATTCTGTCTCTGCTATAAATTAATAGCATCTTCAATCCCATCTTCAATAGCCTTCAATCTCTGTCTTTGACAGAGTGCATTGACAAAATTCCTGCTTATTTTTATTTTTTTAGGTTCCACTTGACTTATCTATGATAGAACAGATTTTGATTTATCAATGTATTTGTTGATCAATCAATATATTTGCGCAGCACCATCAATATGCATGGTACGCCACAGCCAAAAGAAGGGGAAAGGGTTTTGCTGTGCCATTTGGGCAAAGGTCCTCCAATTACGGTAGTCTATAGAGCTATATCTATATCTGTTTCTAACATAGGTTTTTTTCAGAACAGTCAGACTAAAACCACCTTCCCTCCCCACTGTAATTTATTTCAAATAAAGCACTTTCTATGAAGGTTACATGTTTTTATTAGCAACTGCTGAACACCCAGTGTAAAAACCTGGTAAAGTGTAGAAAGGGGAATTTTGTTTCAACTGAATATTCAGTTCTTTTTTTTCTGCACTTCTCTGTCTGTGATCTGGTTTCTTCATCAAGTTTT